CTAGCAAACCTTTCAACTCAATGTCAATAACTACAGCCCTCCTACATCGTTAGTAAAGGCTTTCCACCTCAATTAGATTATAGAGTGAATCCTCGGTCATTTTCTCCATCTCAGTTATCTTAAATTCATACGTTGGTAAGTTCTTACGGATCAATTTTCATGCCACTTCATGCTATACGTGGTAACTTTCTCTTGTGTTGTATCTTTTTGTAGCGTCCCGGGACCATACCATCAGGATGTGGAGTATTCGTCAGGGACTTCAGGTGACGTTGCTGTCGATGCACATTCCAGTAATGAACTTTATGATGACGGCAGATGCCAAGCGGATCATTGTACATCTGGAGAATGACCACCACGTACCTCTTCTGTGTCTCCACAACAGTCCTGTCGATCCGGAGCCGAACGGCGAGTGGGCACCATCCGTCGCAGGCAAGCACATAGTTCTATTTAGTCCAACCTTCTATTGACAATTTTACCTCACCAAGTGGTTGACTCTACCGATGAACTGTTAGTCCACTAGGTTGAACTTAATCTTGTTGTTGGATTCAGTGTTACTCGGTTTACACGAAACACTAGTCTGTGATTTAATTATCAGTTGCAGCCCAAGTTGTAAATTTGTACGTTATAAAGATTTTTATACGTACCATTTTCCTTATTCTTTTTTTTACATAAGTTTCACTGTTGAATATTTTGGTCTTTAGAACTGCTGAAGGCCATAAGGCGCTGTTGAATGTTTGTTTCGGCATTCTGCTTAAACTTGTTTTTTTATATAAATACTGTCTCAATTCTTATTTATAGCGAATATCAACGTAATGTTAATACTGAAACATGCATTTCATTTTGTACAATCAGAAACTATTGAAAAAATAATTTCACATTTTTCAGATGCACTAGCGATTTTGCCTTTAGTTCCAAAGCACACATTTCCACATCGAAATTCTGGGATTTTCCCCGTGCAAAAGTTACCAGTGAAGAGGAAGCGAAGTTCGGTATCAAGCTTACCGCAAATGATCAAGGTAAACGTTAGTCTTAGCTTATTTCGATGGATCATTGTGGGTTTTTCCCCTCTCATATCGTGTTTGGAGCACGTATTGCTATCTTGCATGTACGCATATATATTATATATATTTTCGTATTGATATGTATTTTTTGTCATAATTTCCCTCACACTCTTAGTTATCATCCTTTACTAAACGTAGCTGACAGTTGACATGGATATGCAAACGAGCTCCATGCGTGCCTACATGCGTCTATCCACAATCATTTTATCAATCAGTTACTTCTAAGAAGCAACTTTATAACTTTTAGAATTTGTTGTTTTCACTTCAATGGGGACGCAGGGAATATGAATGACTACGTTTTCTTGTTCTTATTTGCAGTTATCTCCTATCAAAGCACCTCCAAAGTCAACACCAAAATCGTCCAGGACCAGATTCAGAATTCCAAAGATCCACAGACGGGAACAAAATCCGGACTCCAAAATGTCCAAACTGTGTGTCATTGTGTGACGCATATAAGTAACTTCTACGATATAATCGCATATAAAAGCACCTAGCTTGTCAATACTGTGTCAAAACGTTGGTGTAAGCTGACGTCTCGTTATCCACCTTCGAAACCGGGTATCGGTATATGTGGTTAAAACTGATATCTCGTCATCCACCTAGTACTCAATTATGTGCGTAAACTGAGATTCCATCTCCTACCATGACAACTCTGTATCGAAATCCGCAGTTAAAGTTGATTTTATTTCACTTTAATAACGTTAGTAATTCACCAGGTTCCCTTAAAATATAGTGTTCCTGCAAGAGACACTCAGCGATAAGCATTAATTCAATCATTCTCCGTATTTCAGTTGTCGCACCAAGCAGCTTTCGGTGCTTCTATGTACATAACATATATAAAACTGTTTATTAACACAAATGATACTGTACTTCAAGATTGATAATACTGTACATACCAATAAATAAAACTGTACATACACTTACATGATACTGTATTTAAACATCAATAATACTGTACATACACTTAAATAATAATAAGCGAATTACGGTCATTCGTATCAGAGAAAATTCAATTTAAATGGATTGTTGGTCCAATTCCACATTAAGGAGTTACCTGCTAGGTAGAGTGTGATGTATAGCGACGACGCTTTTGGTAAAATATTACTCGATTGATATAGTTTCCTTGATGTTTTAGTGGAGAATGACGGTGGCTCTAAAGAACGATTGAAATTTGGTGTTTCTAACTTTTGTCTTTGATTTTAAGTATTAGCCTATTATGACTTTTAAGTTTTGACCAAGTATTTTTGGCGTTATGTGCTCGTACAAAAGGTTGAACTAGCGGTTCAAGAATGGGTTCAATTTCAGTATAGAATACCTTAGATTGTTTGTTTGTTTGATTTTGTCTAACGTCCTATTAACAGCTAAG